AGTTTGTGATGTGATACTACTGAGCCAAACCAACCAATCATGTAAGCCTTCTCTTACTTTTTTCTTCCAACCCAGATCAGACAGCTTGAAGTGAAAAATTGTAAACCCTGGGGTCACAGACACGAATGGAAGGCACCTGGGCCCTAGCACACCATGTGAAAGCTGTCTGAACAACTACACTTGTTCCTTGAATATGCAGAAATAAACTCTTGTTTTCTTAAGTCACTGCAATCTTGATGTTATCTATTATAGCTCTCAGTTGGTGTTATTTTAACTGAGTGTTTAATTATGCCCTCAAATGTGGAGCTGAGAGTAACTATCAGTAGCAATCAGTCTCTTCTTCTAAAATGGCATTTGAAAACTTTTATAAAATGAATGATTTCCAACTAAATTATTGGTAGTTTTGGGTTGTCTCTGCATATATAGCATTAACAGCATTAAGGGAATTCTTAAAGCAGCAGCAGAGGCTGTGCAATGGGACAAGCCCCAGACTTCTAAAATAAACCTGAGAGATGCCCACACAACTTTGAGAAGAGTTTCAGGATCCAACTTCCTTTAAATAACTTTGTTTTGGATCCCTCAGTGCATCTGAGAACATTCCTCCTCCTCACCCACAGCCAGTAGATTCCCTCCCACTCTGTACTAATTCATTTACCCAGGAGGCTACAACCATTTCAAGTCCCTAAAAAGTCCCTAAAAGGGAATGAGGCGTAGAAACACAGAAACATTAACCTTTGTAAGAGCAGAGGCTCTTTTGTCTGAAATAAATAATTCTATGCTCGGCCCCTCTACTTTTCAACTCCCAGATGCCCAATTCCGAAATACATTCACAGATAAACAAGTGGGATTATTGCAGGGCTTCCAAAATTCATTCACAGATAAACAAGTGGGATTATTGCAGGGCAGAGGCCTGCCATAAAACTGAGGCGGCCTCGGAGTCCTCCACAACTTCCAATTCTGACTCCTGCAGTTATGCCGGAAAGAAATCAGACATGTCACTAAGAATAACAGGCCGAGTTCATTTGAAAGGATAGGAAAAGGGAATCTTCTAAAGAAAGAGAATGGGTCATGTCAGAGAGGAGGACCACACACTCCTACTGCCCTCCAGCCATGTCCAGGGTCCCACCCATGTCTACCACTTGACTTTTGGCTGACTTCAGGATGACATCAGGCTTTCAATTTTCCAGTGTGACAATTCTAGGTCACTTTGGTCCATACTAATACATTATAAATAAAACCCGTAAATAAAACCTGTTCTTACAGATTTTGTGGTTAGGGGAAATTATTCTTATCTGAGTTCTGGGATCCGGTCTGTATCACAAAAGTCCCCCACTTCAGGATGACTCGTGTTCTTATTGGTATTGCTGGCCTGCATTTCTCCTGCAGATAATAGGTAGTCTGCTGAGGAGCATAACATATCCTGCCAATTTAAGCCAGGCAGGGCTACAGGGAAACAGCTTTTTAAAAAAGAAAGCACGCCCTATCTGAGGAACAGGTGGCAAAGATCTTCTCCCATTCTGTTGGCTCTCCCTTCACACATTTCCTTTGCTGTGCAGATTTTTAACTTCAGGCATCCCACTCATTGATTTTTGGTTTTATTTCTTGAACTGTAGGAGTCTTCTTAAAGAAGTCGGTTACTGTGCCAACATTTTGGTGTATTGGGCCTACTTTCTTTTCTAGCAGTTGCAGTTTTTGGTCTAATTCCTAGACCAGAATCCAGTTGTGTTGACTTTTGTGCAGGGTGACAGATAGGGGTCAAGTGGCATTCTACATATGGATACCCTGTTTTCCCTGCACCATTAAAGACTATCTTTTCTCCAATGTATTTTTGGTAACTTTATCTAGTAGCAGATAACTAGTTTTGTAGGTTTGCCTCTTCTATTTTAGTGGTCTTTGTTTTGGTGCCAATACCGTGCTGTTTTTGTTACTAGAGCTCTGGAGTATCATTAGAAGTCTGGTATTGTGATGCCACCAACATTGCTATTTTTGCTCAGGATTGCTTTGACTATTCTGGGCCTCTTGTTTTTCCAAATGAATTTTGGTACTGCTTTTTCTAGTTCTGTGAAGAACATCATTTGTATTTTGATGGGGATTGCATTGAGCCTTTATAACACTTTTGGTAGAATAGCTATTTTGACAATAAACATGGAAGGTCTTTCCGTCTTTTAAGGTCTTTAATTTCTTCAGTGTTCTATAGTTTTCATTGTAGAGGTCTTTCACCTCCTTCATTAGATTAATTCCCAAGGGATGTGTGTGTGTGTCTGTGTGTGCTTGAGGATACTGTAAATGGTGTAGTTTTCCTAATTAATAAATGGGCAAAAGAACTAGACATTTCTCAAAAGAAATGCAAATGGCCAACAAATATATGAGAAAATAGGAAATGCAAATCAAAACCACATTTAGATTTCATCTCACTCCAATCAGAATAGCAATTGTCAAGAATACAAATAATGTTGGTTAGGACAAGTCTGAAAAGCAGTATGGAAATTCCTCAAAAAAACTAGGAATGGAATCAGTGTATGACCTAGCTATTCCACTTCTCCATATATACCCAGAAGATCTAAAATCAGCATACTATAGGGATGCAGCTACATCAACATTTATAGCAGCACAATTCACAAGAGCCAAGCTGTGGAACCAGTGTAGGTGAATGGATAAAGAAAATGTGGTAAATGTACCTGATGGAGTATTGCTCAGCCATAAAGAATGACTTTATGGCATTTGCTCGTAAATGGATGAACTGGAGACTACAATGCTAAGTGAAATAAGACTATCCTAGAAATTCAGATCAAATATTTTGTCTGGGAAGTAGAAGCTAGTCTAAAATGGGAAAATAGAGAAGAAATAGGGGAGGGGATTCCATCAAAATAAATATCAGTGGGGACTGAGGGGAAGAGAGGAGAGACAGGATATGGGAAAAGCATGGAATCAATCTGACCTAAATTTCCTATGTACATATATGAATATACTACACTGGCCCTCACCATTATGTATAGCCACAAGACACTAACTTAAAAAAAAAAAAAAAGTCTGTAAGCAAATAGAAAGATACATAAAAGGAAGAGGGGGAGGGTAAACAAAAGTACTAGGTATTTATAGCTTAGTACTAGATAATTAGAGCAAATTACATTCCATGCATTTGTCAAAATGGATTCTAATGTGTATAACTAATACAAACCAATAAAAAATAACTAGGTGCAATGGTGCACGCCTGCAATCCCAGCTGCTTAGATCCTCCTGAAGCAGGAGGATCTCAAGTTCAAAGCCAGCCCTGGCAACTTTGTGAGGCCCTAAGCAAAGTAACTCAGCAAGGCCTTGTCTCCAAATAAAAAATAAAAAAGGGCTAGGGTTATAGCCTAGTGGTTAAGATTCAATCCCTGATACAAAAAAAAAAAAAAAAAATGTAGGGGTCAACACAGTGAACCCAGTTTATATAATTATCCCCGTAACCTCAGGTTCCCATGGCTCACATGTCTGTTCCCTATTAGAATGTGTATAAAATTACACACAGGAAAAGGAAGGTCCTTCAAGCTCAAGGTTTCTTTGGATACACTAAGGTATACCTATTAGATACCTTTCTATAGAAATAACGCATTCATTTCTACTGAACTCAGAATTGTTTTTAATACTTCACCTGGAGAGAGGAGAGAGAAAATATCCCAAGGACTGAGGAGAAACAAAACCAAAAGCAAAAGCTAGCTGATCTCACATCCCTGATGCATAAACTTAGGTTAAAAAAAAAAAAAATCTAGTCTAAATGCATGTATTTTTTACTAGTGTCTTGATAGCATTTTGTTTTGTTCCTTTTTTCTGAGTGGAAAAAGAGAAAAAGTAGAATTTTCACAATTCAGTGGTTCAGTGCAGTCAGATGATACATGTGTGGTAGCAGTGAAGTTGAATCAGAGTCAATAAGCCCAAGGATAGAGGCTAAGTAAACACATTCGGCTTTCAGTCAGCTGTACATTTCAACCCATTTTTCCCAGAGCTTTAAACATGCATGTTTGTCTTCAAGCCAGGTTTGTTGGGATTTTAAAGTGTTAAAGTAAAAAAGATATATTTTACCACCAGCCACCATCATTTTGCTTTCTTATTACCCAGGCCTTGAACCCAGTGCAGTAATAATTAAAGTTCAAGAAAGGAGAACTACTCACAGACAATGGATAAACTAAATTAGCCACACAACAGTGCACTATAGTTGCCTAGAATTCCATTATTTTTCCAACAGGTTATGGTGTATTGGGGGAGCTAGCTTTGGACACTGTACTCATTGAGGTGGCAAATATGCAGACTCTAAATTTAACGGAATGTGTTTACTTCTAACAAACCTAGGTTCACTGGGGGTGGGGGAAGATAATCTCATGATATAAAAGGATTGAAACAGCATTTGAAGCTTAGCTTAAAACAGCATATTGCAGGGCTGGGGTTGTGGCTTAGTGGTGGAGTACTTGCCTAGCATGTGTGACATGCTGGGTTTGACTCTCAGCATCGCATATAAACAAATAAATAAAATAAAGGTCCATCAGTTAGAAAAATATATTTTTAAAAAATAGCATATTGCCACCAGGTGTGGTGGTGTACACCTGTCTCCAATGATCAGGCGGCTGAGGCATGAGGATCACAAGTTCAAACCCAGCCTTAGCAACTTAGCAAGGCCCTAAGCAACTTAGGGAGACCTTGTCGTAAAACTAAAAAGGGTTTGATGTTCTCAAATGTTAAGCACCCCTGGGTTCAATCTCTGGTAACAAAAGTATATAAATAAAAATAATAATAAATAAAATCTATTTCCTTATGAAAGGCCTGGGACAACATAGGTCGGAGTACTTGGAGCAAGAGCACCATTTACCTAAGTTGGATAGTCAAATGAGCTTGAAAGCAAGGAGGAAGAATAGTTTCATCTAAAGTCAGGAGGAGCTCAAGAATGAAAAAAAGTAAGTTACAAAGGAAAAAAGTGTTAATTACAGACAGTCCCCATATTTTGGCCATATCAGAAACACAATAGCTTCATTATCAATATTTATTGGGTGCCTATCATGTGCAAGGCACTATGCTAGGTGCTGGGGAAGGTACAAAGATAAATCCAACAGCCTGTCCTCAAAGGGCTTACAGTCTAGTATAGGAGCATACAGTCCCTGGAGAAGATAATTTAGGTGTAATTAACTGCCTCCCGTCTACCCCACCCCCCAAAACATACTAGACTTGGTTTCTTCCTTTTTTAATTCAGCAGCTTCACATAAAAAGCATAAATCTGAAAGTTTTTCAAAATGCATACTTTTACTCTTAAACAAAATTCATTTTCATTAGAAAAAATGCTGAATATTTATTGCAATTATGAAAATCCTCAAACACATTTTTATGGATTTTTTTCTTGTGAATCTGTGTTTTTGAAGTAAACAATTTTCCAAATTGCATCAAAACATGCAACAACTTTTTGAAATAAATCCTTTAAACTATTGGCAGTTTCATGTAATGTACACAGGCTCTCTGCTAAAAGCAAGGAAAGCTTTTGAAATGGATAGATTTATGTTCACAGCTTATGGAGTTTTCCCCCATAAATCTATTACAAGTCAATTCAAAGTATTATAAAGTAACACCTGTTAATTTGACACCCCAACTCCAAAGCTTTTAATTGGCTGGCCAGATCCACCAAAGAACTACAAAATAAGCCCAGGAAAGGAAATTCAAAATAATCCATTTCCTATTACAACCTTAGGAATTTCTGAAGCTTTTTGTAATTTTCCTTTCAGCAGAGAGAAACTAAAGGTAGTCAAGTATGGAAATAAAAAACACTGATTTAGCCAGTTTTCCAAGGTTAAACTGCTAAAGGATGAGTGCTACATTTTAAAATTAAATTCACTTCTAACTGTAATTACTTTAAATAAGTATCCAGTAATTATTATTCTCTTTGCTCAGAATAATCTCCGAGCTCCGATATTTCTGGTCATACTTAGGTCGTTATATGTCTGAAGCCTTGTGTCTTTGTAGAGACTTGATGAGACCTCTTTAAAACACTGAGACCAAGGAGATGGTTATCAAACTGAACACAAATCAAATTTTCAAAAAGTAGAATTACGGTAAACTAATAAAGCTGAGCACACCCAAAAATGAGTTCCTGAGATGCAGATTCCTTATTCCCATGTTGAAGCATTCTTAATCCTGAGCATTTTCCCTTAGTTCAGTAAAAATGAAAAACTTCATCCATATTGTACTGGTGGGGTCTATTTCTCTCCCTCACCAAATTCCCAAAAAGGGGGCTTGTCAAATGAACAAACCGTAACTCAATTTCAATAATAATCTCTTTTAGAGTAATAGAGCCACTCACCCCAAAGGTATAACACCTATTAAACTAGAATCCATGTCTGGTTAATATTTCAGGCTTACTGAGCAAGCCTGATTTAATCACAACATTCCCAGTTTTTATAAGTTTTTTACTTCTGCAGATTTTAAGTTTACATGTCTAATATTGTATAAAGTAAGTAAAGTTAAATTTTGTAGGTGTAAAATGTGTAACAGCAATAGTCAGATCAGTATGACTTATGTGCTAACCTTTTAATCATCTTCCCATCACTAAAGTGCTTTTCTGTTCAATCTCTTAGCTGAACAGATAAAACAAATTTTATAGACTTGTGTGAAGAATCACCATATAACTACTCCAACTCTGTCATTTTACAGATACAGAAACTGAGACCCTGAAAAGTTTAATGAAAAAGCTGGGAGCCAAACCCAGTCTAGTATTCATATTATAACTTTGACCTTTTTTGCTGGTTTAAAAACTCATATGTACATGCTTTTATATGACCCACATATGATAGCTGTCAAAAATGAATGTAACTAAACAGTGATGTATTTCATTAGGTAAACAAAACAAATTTTATTTAATTTAAACTATTCTTAGAAAATATTAGCCCTTTTTGGTTGTTGCTGATAGTGTACTACAGTGCTTGGTCTTGCTTTTAATAATAATTTGCAATTGCTACCTTTGAGGATGTTTATTTCTCCTCTACAGAAAAAATAAATCATCTTAAATATGCTCATATGCTCAATTATGTATTATGTATTTAATCTCTACATTATTTTTTCACACATTTACATTTTTTATACTTTTAATGTGAGTAAAATGAATTTATGTGGAAAATGAGATATTACCACTATGTTAAGTTGTTGGCAACTTGAAAATTAGTCGCTTTCATACATAATGGGAATCATCTTCTAAGAGTGATACAAAGGGTGTCTGGAGTAATAAAAAAACATAATGACAATTACAAGTCAAATTTGATTAGTCTGTAAACTGAGGTGTAAGAGAAAGGATAAGCTTAAGAGTACCTTGAGATGTGAGCTCAAGCTTTAACTTCATTCCTTGCTACTTAACTTTGGAGCGATTCAATAAACTTCTGAGTTTCAGTTTCTTGATCTGCAAAGAACTAACATTTGCACTACTTACCTCCTTGGATTATTGAGGCTAACATAAAACACAAGAGTGCTTTGTAAATGGAAAAGCACACTGCCAAATATTATTACTATTCCAATAATTATTAAAATTTGAACCTATGGATAATTGCAAATAATTACCACTTAGTGGCACTTGGCATGCTCACAAGAACAAACTTAACTCAAAGGATAAATCATGCAAAGATTTTCAACTTTCAATGGCAATGCTAAAAAGTATATAAAGATACACAAAGGAACATTTTTAGAGCTAGCACTAAAAGACACACATTTGGTTGACTTGAGACTTAAAAATGAGTTTGAATGATTTACAACATAGAAGAGGTATTTAGTATTTAAGTGGAGAAAGCTGCTAGTCATCTAAGAAAAACACACATTATGGGTATCCTAAAACAAATGGAATAAAATTCTATCACTTTTGGCTTTTTTGTAAACCAGGCTTCTAACGAATAAGTATATTAATTTTTCCAGTAATCTAACATACACTAAAAGAGATAAAAGAAAATGTCTACATCTAAGTCACAACCAATGTGAACTTGCATGAATGCCAAGCATAAAATTCAGAGTTCTTATAACTCTACAGGCACCTGAAAGTTTTAACAACCCTTCATGCTCACTTTATATTCCATAAAGAATAATGGAAATACAGGGAATACTTCAAATATATACCAAGTTCTTATTATGTTGTTGCCTTATTCTTATAGCCTTATTCTTATATCAGAGATATAGCTATCTCTGATAGCCTTGTTTTTGTTTTGTTTTTAAGGTTGAGTATGCTATTAACCTTTTCCTTCAAATATGCCTTTTGATGTTACTTCTACATCAAAAACAAAAACAAACCAAAAAAACCCACAAAGTAACAACCCAAAACAAATGAAGGTGCAAGGGAAAAGATAAATGAGATATAATTCATTAAGTATAAAAATATGTTGTTTCAAATTCAGAATAATTTAATAACTCTTCGTTATTTCATATGTATCTGGAAATGGGACAGATACATGTCCTGATCCCGTCACAAGAGGTAGAATTCCAGCATTTGGTACAACGTTCCAAGATAGGGTCAAAGTGACATTCCTGTTTCCCCTATAAAAAGATATAATAAACAGAAGTCAGCAGAAACACTTATAGTTCAATAAAAACATTTTAAAACAAGCACTGAGGTGTCAAATATTTTATAACTAGTTATTCCTAACAGGAATTCTAAGCTGTAAACAGAACTATTTTCTCTTCTCACTTGAAATCTGAGGACAATGCTAAAAGACACCAGCATTACATTTGAATTACATTACATTGAATCCCTTAAAAAAAAATCTAAACTTATTCACAACTGCAGTTAATAACAACTAAAAAGCTTACATGCAAGAAACACAGTGAATATAAAATGAGACCTGTGCTAGGAATCAGAAGACAATGATTTGAAGCCTAATTCTGTCATTATCTAGTTTCACAAACTGGAGCAAATCAAAATGTATTATGATCTGAAATTCTTATTTGTAAATATGTAGGTCTGGTTTTAAAATTCTTTTAAAATTCTTTCTGATAATACCTCAGAAAGTGTAAGAAGCAAAAATGACCTGAGAGGTCAATCACTGATTCCCTCGTTTTGTATGAGCAACAGAAGTTTAGAAAAGCCAAGAGAACCAATATTAGAAACCTGAGTATCAATTCCAAGACCCAATGCACTGCTTTCTCATTAAGGTTTCTCTGATTCATGTTTAGAAAGGAAACCTTTAATTTGACAATCATAGCGCTACCTTATATAAGTAATCCTATACTCCCTGTACACGTAAGAGTAGAAGCTGTATGCCTTTATTAGTTTGGACCATTACATTTTACAAACTGCAAGAGAACAAATTACTTATCTTAGATCCCAATTTATATTTCTTCCCAATCTTCCATTCAGAGCTACATAAATACCTCTCTCCCAATTTTCCTTTTTACCCTCTAATATTTTTTTAAAATGAAAACACATTACATCTTTCTCTTTCACATTTTACTAAATGTTAAAAAATAAAAAAGTGCTCACTTGAGACCATTTCCATCATCAAAGAAAAAATATTTTGTTTTCATATCTTTCAACAGCAGCTTCGGATTATCACCTCTCAGAACAATCTTGTCCCAGAGGACAACCTGGTTCAGAGCCTACATTAAAATGAAAATTAATTAGGTAACTCATCAGAAACAGCATCTTATCATTTAAAAGTATTAATAATTAAATAATTTCACATATGAAGGAACCCAACTTGGACAGATTTGCTAAAATCTTGATGCATACCAAATGTGTACTAGTAGATAATATAAAGAAGGGGACAAACTTTTCATGGAGAGAAAAATTATTTCCCTAAGGAAATCATTCCTTTTACTCAGTCAACTCTATTATATAAGGCCCTCAGACCTTACTAAAAGGTTCAATATCTATATGCTCTCCAAAAAGCAATATCCTTAGAATCCTTGCATAGGAAATATTCTTTTAAATCTCTTTTCTCTGTGAAATTTCTAATACTGTCCATCTCAGAGTGGACCCTGGATGATACTGGGAAAACACAGTGAGCTAATCCAAGTTAACGTGAGATGATGTCAGGAAAATGGATGAATCTTCAAGAACTTAAAATTATCAAGGAAACACCAAAGAAATGAATGCATAACATCTTTTCCCCCTTTACAATAAAATGTGCATCACTGTTTTTATCATGGCAGAATTCTAGATATCAGATAATTCTTTAAAGCCACTTTATTTCAATGTATTACAACCAAGTTCCACAAAAATTAAGAGTATAAAATGGAAAGAAAAACTTGTCACTCCTACTAAATATCAAGGAATTTGTCCTCATGGAAGCTATCATCCATCAGCTAGTGAGGCTGAATGCTCAATATGTTATGACTACCTTAACTGAAAAGAAATACAGAGAAGTTATTTCTAAAACAGGGCTTAAACCAACATCTTAAAACCTCTTTCTAATATTAAAAATATTAAAAATCATTAAGACTGAAGAAATAGTTGGACTTGGTGACACATGCCTGTAATCCCAGCAACTTGGGAGGCTAAGGTGGGACAACAACAAGTTCAAGATCAGCTTTGGCAACTTAACAAGACCTTGTCTCAAAATAAAAAATAAAGGGCCCAGAGATGCTGGGGAAGTTCCAAATTAGCATTTTCCTACTAGTTATGCTAGGGTAAACCAGGATTATAAATATATTTTTGGTACATTAATCATAAAGGTTACAGTTATTTCAACAATTTGTTGAAACCTGTCAATGTTTGTGTATAGTTGCTACTCTATCAGGAATAGCTTTTTCTGTTTAACATTTTGTTGATGCTGAAGGACAAGAATCAAAACTTTTTCATCCCAATAGTCCCACAGCCTAACGAAACACCTATTATTTTCAAAATAAGTGTATAATTAATTGAAGTGCTAAAAATTCTGATTAATTAATGTATATTTTCCTTGAAAACAAATATAGTTCAAATAAAACACAGACCAATCTTTAACTACAATCTATCTCTAGCCTACACTGATGAAAACCTGTAAAAACCACTATACTTAAGACACGAGCAGTGGAATGTCCCTATAATCCCAGCAACTCAAAGGGTTGAGACAAAGAGGACAAGTCCCAGATGAGCCTGAACTCAGAGAGGCTCTAAGCAACTTATCGAGAGGATGTCTCAAAAAATAGAAAAGGGCTAGGGATGTAGCTCAAAAGTTAAATCACCAGAGTTCAATCCCTAGAACCAAGAAAAAAAAAAAAAAAAGAAACTCAACAACATATAACCAACATTATAATTCCTATATTTGCTTACATATTTTCAGTCTACTACTTTATACCTTCAGTATCAATACTAAAAATAGAACCTAAGAAGATTTAACAAGATTCTATATAAATATCCTAATGCCTACCCTAACCTGCAACAGAGCGCTAAATCAGACTAAACTTATCACCTTCAATCACAAAATAAATCATTTTGATGTGTTTTATCTACTAGTATGATAGTTTTTGTGTTGTTGTTATTGTTGTTGTTTTAGTTGTCAATGGATCTTTTGTTTTATTTATTTATGTGGTGCTGAGAACTGAACCCAGGGCCTCACATATGCCAAGCAAGCGCTCTACCACTGAACCACTGTGGCTACAACTCTAGCCCTGATAGGTTTTAATTATAAAATTTATTATAAACTATAAAGACTACTTCAAGTACTCAGATTGATGAATTTCATACAATTCCAAAACAAAGGAAAACAGTTCTCAATAAGCAGAGATATTAATTGAAGATATATGATTTATTAACACTACCAAAGCAGCTCATTATCATAGATTTTTTAAAAAGAAAATACAAATATTTGGTACAAGGATACATTTTTAAATAATCTCAGATGATTCAAAAATTTTTAGTAATCTTCACAGCTTTTGATTACCTATCTTCATAATGAAAGCTTTAACCAGACCTCAAATTCTGTTGATTTATTTATGTTGTCAAGTAGCTTTCTATTCTCAACTGTGGATAAAAGAACATTCAGCTTAAAAAACATATAGCTGAGCAGCACTAGTACTTCCTCATTTCATACGTAATTCAGAGTTAAGCACCACCATTTCTCATCTTACCACTAGAAATAGTCTACAAGAGTTTTTGATCATAAATTACTTTGAGCATAAACTAAGCCATGCCCTTTATTTATTATGTATATAATATACATGTACTATTTATCATTGACAGTTAATGCAAATTTTCATTTCAAATAATCTTAACTAATGGAATTCTCTCCTCTTTTAATTAGTTTACTTAGGTGTTTTGGGGTTTTTTTTGTTTTATTTTAATCCTTTAACATGATTTAAAGAACAGACATATGGGATCTACCATTTTCCTATTGTTAATGTGTTGGAACATCAGCGTTATCTTCAATCTTTCTTTTCTTTGCAGGACATTTTTTTTTTTAGCTATTTTTCTATTTAATAGCAATTATTTAGAACTTGATAATACAATCCCCTATATACTACAATATTTTGTAAAATGCTAAAAGTGAATAAATGAATATATTAGGTAGTACGGTCAACCTCTGGGCACTGAGAATTCCTTCTCTTCCTCCAGAATATTTCCATGGCATGTGACCATCTGATAAGGACTGAATAAGTATTAATGTGAGTTTGCAAAGCAACTATTAATACAGCTTAAATTTTTCTTTTAATTTTAATTGGGAAATACATAACAGAAACTCTAATATCCCTTATATACCTATCAATTACTGTGCATACACATCATTCTGGAAGCCACAATGCTAAGGAGCTACAGTACATACAGAAAAAAAAAAAAAAAAAAAAGAGAGGCTACCAGAGAGAGAAAATGTTCTTAGCAGAGTCACCTCTCCATATGGTTGTGAGTGTTTACTAAGCTATGCAGGTCAGATATTTTTACTATATGAACATCTCTATTTGTTGTGCATAAAGAATAAGGTTTTAAGTAACTATTAAAATATGCTTTAATTGCTGGGGTTGTAGCTCAGTGGTAGAGCGCTTGCCTAGCACATGTGAGGAACTGGGTTCAATTCTCAGCACCACACAGAAATGAAAAAAATAAAGGTACATCAACAACTAAAAAAAAAAAAATTTTTAAATGCTTAAATACATACACTTACATTATTTTTTGTTGAATATTCTGCTGATAAATAAAGAAACAACTGCTTAACGTTCCAATCAAATATATTCTCTAAATGTAAACAAATTAAGGAATATACAAGACAGAAGGCAGCACACAGCTTTTAAAAGATCTTTGTTATCTTCAATTAATTTTCCACATCAATACTAACACTAAAATAGAAAAAAAGGAGAGGTGGTCCAGAAACATACTGAGTCACTAATTTAATAATACAGAGGATAAATATTTTATAAAATCCAACCCATTCCAAAGCCAAAAAAGAATGTAAGGTCAGCATGCTCCCTACTCCTGCAAGTATTACCAGCTAAGATACCTTGATTAACAAGAAAATAACAAAAAATCCAAAATTTAGATTTCTAATATTAACCCACTATGTCCAAAAGAAAGATGAATTATTATTTCATGGATATTCATGAAATACTAGAGCTCTAAAGTATAACCAAATCACCACTATTTAACAATATGCAAACATGAACTAAGTTCAAGTTATTAGCCAAGTACAGTAAAATGTATGTTCCTTTTGTTACGTGTCCATAGAAATCAAAATGTCTACACAAAGTGCTTTGGTAAGAAGCAAATGAATGCTAACTAGGTACCATTCAGCCTGGGGGAAGGAGGTACACTTTCAACTAGAGTTAAACTACATACTGGTACCTCCACATGAGCAGAGTTTTATATTTGTATTTTATTAAATATCATATGTAAACTGTCATTTTATTATGTATATTTATATATTTATAGCAACAGGTTTGTTACATTCTACTTTTAATTATGTGTAGCCACTAAGAATCACTTGTTTGCAATTGAGAAGTCTAGGACAGTTCTTTACAATAACAGCTACAATTTCAAGTATTTTCAGCATTAAGAAAACCCAAATAAACTATAAACAGTGAGATTGGTAACATATAGTGAAGATATCAGGAAATTTCACTGTTATTCTCCAGATACACAAAATGACTACTTTCATACTAGATCTACACTGCTTGTATAGATTTTTTTTAAATGATGTCAAGACTTAAAAGCACACAAAGTTTAGGGTAAGACTTGCCTGATGGCACATTCTACTTCCTAAAAAGGTTCCTTTAGAACTAATTCCTAGTCTACTTATAAATTCAGTAATTTCTAAAAAATTAAAAGGTATTCCAAGATAGTAGGAACTGAAGAAAAATTCCCCAGGCATATTATCTGCTTCAATTGTTCAGATAGTTGCTCTACACAAGTTCAGACTGTTCAATCTCCATGACCATTTTAAACCATGGGTCTTAGAAAGGCAGATAGGATCAGGTCAGAAATGGCAGAGAACAACATTGCCAATATATTTACATATAAGCCTAAATAAGATTAAAGTGGCCAAAATGACCAGAGTTGTTAAGAGATGGAAACTCAGGATAAGGAGAAAATAATTAAACCATCCCCTTAAAGTCATTCTTTTCATTAAGATTTCTTTGACTGTTCTATGAGTACTTATAACAAGAACTACAATAACAAAATGTTAACATGATTTAAAACATTCATTTCAATAACAGCCATTTGAACCATTAGAAATGTAATTCACTTTTTAAACATGTTTCTCTCCTCTATCATAAGATAGTGATTCTTTGAGACTGTACATGAAATATTTCAGGCAGACTGAGCTCTGATAACATTTTTCCTTCTTTAATTCAAATGATCTAATTTTATTAATTTTTTTCACAAAGAGATTCATGCATAGATTGCAATCACTTTAAGGAAGAATTTAAAATTACATACACACAACTAACTCATGAATCTACAGTTTTCTCCAAGTATGAACAAGTATTAAAACTATTTAGCTGATGAAAATATATGTGACAGGATTTCTTCCAAAGTTTGGTTGATTCAACTAGGTGGTACTCACTGTCCCCCAAATCTCTAAGCAACATATTTCTCATTACAAAACTACAGAAAAAGAAAATAAATATTTCCTTAAAGGATATCAGCAGTTATATCAAATGTAATGAATCCCAGATCACTTCTTTCTCTTGGTCCAGTGAAGTCTTCTACATTTTTTCTAGAAGTAAAGATAAAAGTTTTACCATCCTTTATAATAAAGGCATACACTATTCACATAATAATTTAAAGATCTAGTTGGTATAGAGGTGGAACAGCAATTCCACAAAGAAACAAGTAAAAAACAGAGAAATCTTTAGTGTGAAAACAGGGTAAACATTATAATTCAATATTTTAAAAAAGGTCTTCAATTATTTTCAAATACCTTAAGAAATCTCTAAGAAAACTCAAGGGAAGACATAAGAACTGCTAAAAAAAAAAAAAAAAGACTTTAAATACTGGTGACAGCAGGAGGATGGGTAGATTTAAGATTACATATGACTACAAGGCAATACGGAAAACTAAAATAACAGCTGCTCTTTCTTGAATGCTTTACCACATGTCTAATCCACTTTGTATTTTTCACAATTACCTCAAATTATTTTCATAAGGCTACCAATTAGGCATTGCCTTCATTTTGAATAAAAAGGAATTAAGGTTCATAAGAGTAAGAAACTTTCTCAACACCAAACATTTATTCAATGTTTCAAACACATTCTAAGCCCTCATAGACCTTAATGGCAGTGCTGACTTCCAACCCAGGTCTATGTGAATTTAGAACAGTATCTAACAAAAAAAAAAGGGAGGGGAGGGGGCGGGGAGGAATCACTATTAGATGACTGACTTGTGATTCTTACAATGAAATTAAACTACGGCTGCAGAAGAAGACAGATCTTGTTAGTAAATGGAACAGAATAATTGAGTATTAAGATCAAAAATGTCACAAATCAAAGACAAAAGTGGTGGAGAATTTTAAAGTAAAAATACAAAAGAAAAAAAATAGGCAATAAAGAAATGCAACTGTGATTCCAAAATTCTACTTTTGACGTCTTCGCAGATTTATTCAAGCAAAGTTTTGCTTAAAAAATGCAAATAAATTAGAAAAACAAGAATGGGCTGAATCAGTGCATCTTAACCTCGGTCCTAACTTCCAAGCTGCTCCAAGTATTTATTGCATTCTGAAGGTGGAAAGACAAAAATTGCAAAGGGAATGTCAAACAGGACAAACTCCAGTTATAGATGGCACGAAAGCCGTCCTTCAAGTTGCTTCAGCCCCAAGCGTAACGGAGCTACGGAGCCAGGCCCGACGCCGACCCGCGCGCGGCGGCAGCACCTCGGGGCGTGTGAAGACCCACCGGCCCCGGGACGCGCGGGAGGCGGCGGCCCGGGCGGCGGCGCGGGTTTGCTGTTGTGTTGCTCCCTCATTGGCCAGGCGTGGGTGAGGGAAGTGAGGAACAGGAAGGAAGCGGAGGCACCGACCCGAGCAACTCAAAATTAAAATTTAAGAGCAAGCCCGGGAATTTACGACGGAGGGGGGCGAGTTTCGAGGGGAAGCCGGGAAAACCGGGGGAGCCCGCAAGTCCGCCCCGGACATCTGCCTTAGGGGTGAATGGCTGCTCCGGAGGGGACCCTGGGGACGGCGCGGGAGTCCTGCCGGCGTCTCCCGCTCCTCGGCCCGGCTTCGGCCCCCGCCAGGCCGGGTCCAGGTGCCCTGCCCCATTAGCCCTAGCCTCGGCCGCACTCACAGCATGATCCGCGAGACGTGCAGCCGCACCGGGACACTCCTGTCTTTGAAGGCGGTGGTGATGAAGCAGCCGAAGGTGAGCGCCGCCATCACGCTCAGCGAGAAGGCGAACAAGGAGTTCGCCCGTGACAGCACCGTGTTCATCGCGACCTTTTCTCACGAGCCCTGTCGCCACACAGGCACCCGGGGTCCGGTTCCGGCAGCGGACCTGCGATCCGCGCCGCCTGCGGTGCGCACGTTCCGGGAGCGCGCGCAGCCGCGGCCCCGCCTCCTTTCCGGTCCTCCGACGCGCGCGCGCGCGCACCCGCCCACCGCGACACACCCACCGCGCGGGAGGGACCGCGCCTTAAGGAGCGCCTCGTCTGTGAAACCGCCCCTCCAAACGCTGCCACCAATCAGAGATGAGCAGGGAGAGGGCGGGGTCCCAAATCAGACCCGCCTCCTCCAGTTGTCAGTTCCCTTCTTTAGTTCTACGGAGGAAATAGCCCACCCTCTTTTCTCGATTCTTGTGTCAGGTGGTTTGGGACTGAGGCTTCTTGGTTGTTTCAGTGCCATTCATTTTAAGTTAAAAACAGCAGCAAGCCAAGATGGTTTGGAGTCTGTTCTTATGTGTCGTGTTTGGAAGCAGGTCTGCACAAAACGCGTGGTCCTCTCCCCGCTCTATCAAAGCTGGTCAAAGTTAGGACTTAAGCCTTTTGGGAGGTTCAGGAGGGAGGCTGCCCAGGTCCCTTAAAGCAGTCACATGTACACCGTCTTTGCGCTCCTTTGCTTTCCACCTTCAACCTTGGTCCAATTCTTGTTAATGTTTTGTTTCTACAGACTGCTAAAGCTGTTTTAAAAGCTAAGGGTTCGTGATACCAGTTTTAAATATTTGCATTTTAACATAGAAATTTCTGATTACTGAAAGGTAACCTTTCTAGGCTTGGGCTCAAGGAAATAATAGCTATGGAATTGCCATAATCTGTAAGAACGTAAAGTTAATAATAAGTAACGGATTGATTTATCACATTTCCAATACTTTAAGGGGTTTAGGGTTCAGACTGGGACAATTCTTGACCTTGAATATACTATCTACCAATACTTTTGCTCCCTTCACAGCAAGGAACTTGCAATTATAAAAATGAGATTCAGAGGATAATTAATTTTTTTCAATTTGCAACCATGAACCATAAGTAGTTAAGAAAACCTTTTATAGAATATGATAGGTATACACCAAAAACATGATCTAAACCTGATCCTGGCTTATGTTGTCTGTTGTTGAGCCTTTGCTTCTTTGCATCATTCATTACCAGTTATTTTTCCTACAGCCATACAAGTAGAATTGTTAGTAATTGCCTAGCATGTGCCAGGAACAGTTCCAAGCCTTGAGAATACAGCAGTAATAAGGCAAAGCCCCTGCTCAAATGGAATACTGCTAAGAAATGAAAAACATATTCACTATAAATGGAGAGATCCTTGGTTGAGTTTCTAACATTAATTTTTATCTTTCAGGCAGTCATGCTTTATTCAATATAGCAAATGTCTATTGAATGGCAACTGTGGTGCAAGTGATAAAGAGATATGTGTTAATATCATTTTTTACCTCACATAGCTTAAATAATAAAATAATTAAATAAAGCACTTACCCCTGAGCTATATCCCCAGTCCTTTTTTTTTTTTTTTTTTTTTGAGACAGGGTCTCCCTAAGTTTCTGATGCAGCTCAAACTGGATCTTCCTAACTCAGCCTCTTAAGTGGGTTACAGGAATGCACCACTGCACTTGGCCACATCTGTGGATATAGGACAAAACAATATATACTAAATATTTAACACAATGCCTAAACATTAACACACATTATTATTCTTATAGAGTAACTTAGAGAAAGGATGCTTGTTACAAATGGTAATGTTTAGGATGAACATTCCAAAATATACTGCGTTGCAAGTACAGGCATATAAGAAACACCCATTAGTCTGGTCCAGCTAAACAATGTGCCATTAAAAGATTAGGCAGAAGTATATCTGGAAACCTAAAATAAGGGCCCACTCTAGAAAAACAGGTCATGAAGTTGGGACTTTATATCAAGGAATTTACATATTAAACAAGAGTAGCCTCACCAAGCAAGTAGGCAGCCAGCCATTGATAAGATATATGAGAAGGGTAAACAATTGAGAGTGTTGGCAATGGAACAGAAAAAAAAAAGATGATTGCTAGAATGGACATTTCAAAGACAAAATGTACATGACTTAGCAACTGCTTAGATAAGAGTTCTCTTGGCAAAATATAAAATAAAAGCAGATTGTGAAAGCACAAGTGGGATTAATAGTATTGTTATGACACCACAGTTTTGAACTTTAGTAAACTGAGAGTGTTACAGAATGACTCTGATACCACCTGTGGAGGAATGGGGTAGGCCACAATGCTAACTGCTCCATGATATATTCAGAGTCAAATTGGTAGGAAAATAGGTTTTATTCAGACTCAGCTTTGAAGAAACAAGAAAACTGTTTAAAAATATTCCACATTTGAAATCCATGAAATTGAGAACTTTTAAAGAAGAAGCAGGGGAGGAGGGACAACAGTAAGGAAAAAAAAAGAAAAAAGAAACAAAGGCAGGAAATGTATATATGCCTAATAATCCTGTGTTAGACAGGTTTAAGGGGACAGTCTCCATTCTGTGCTTCTTTGGTACCTGTCAAGATGGGGGTTGTAGTGCTTTTGTTTCCTTTTCTCTACCAGAGGAAGTTACTCTCAGTTCAGAGCCTACCCCCAACCATGCCCCCACCTCATTTTCAGTCTGTGTCAGGAAAGCCAAAAATACATAGAAGTTAACCAAAAAAACAGGAGCAGAATGGAACAAGAAATTATCTTATTCTATTGTATTTTCCCAAATGTATCTCTTGATTTTTCTGGCTATTTAATCATATCATCTACATTAGACATAATTTTGCCCTTTTCTTTTCAATTATTATACTTTTTTATTGTTTTGTTAATTTCAGTGGTCATTGTTTCCAACACACTGCTTAATAATAATGAAGATGACTGTTAAATCTTTGTCTTGTTCTTGATTTAAGAGGAGAAGTTTCATTTCTCCAACAGGGGAAACTCTAGTTCTGAGATGGAAAGGTGTGTATACATATATCATTGTGTAATATGAAGCACATGATGATATTAAGGAACTATTCATTAATTCCTATTTTAGGATTCTTAAAACGTGAACAAGTACTGAATTATTTTCAAATGCATTTTCTGTATCTCTGGAGGCAATCACATAATTTTTCTCTTCTAATATGACAGGTTATATGAATAGATTTCATACATTGAACCATTAAGCATTAATGGCTCCACTTGAATCAGTCTGTAATATTGTTACAGAGCTGAGGCCTTCTGGGAAACTGAGGCACCTCAAAGAACCACCCTGCAAACCCCAATTCTTGTTATCAAGTCAGAACGATTTCAGACTTGTGTCTCAGAGTAATAGGAGTGAGTTTATTGAAGGGATAGGGACAGGGTGAGAGCAAATGAAAGAGAAAGAAAAAGGAATGGAGATAGACCTCAACAGATCATGGATGCTTTATTAAGCAGAGAGGGGCATATTTTCAAGAGGAAAATGGCAACTGGTTACAATAGGAGTCTGAATTTTATAGGGCTATATGGGTGAGACTAAGTCATAGCAGAATATGTCCGTTAGACAGTCAGGGAAACAGTTTGTAGATATGGGAAATTGTGAAAGCCCAGAGCCCATTGTTTTCCTTTTCTCTCTGGGGTTTATTATTTTCCATATCCTTCAAAGGGGATGCTCTCAAGGGAGAGAGCAGGTTCTCAGAGAGGAGAGGGACAATGTGCCTCACCTGCACTCCAATTTTTGGGGGGATCCAAGAGAAGTTTCCAGAGAGTCCTGACCAGGTCTATCTCTTGACTTTCGACTGACTGGCAAGATGACATCAGACGTAAGTACCCACTGCCATTGCATCTGTAGATCATTTTGACCCATTTTGATCTGTTCTAATTGGGTTCTTAATCATACATTCTTACAGATTTTATGTAAAAATCTTACAGATTTTTATTTTTTATAAAAATCTTACAGATTTTTATGTTATAAGGAATTATTCTTATATCCTTGAGTTTCAGGATCTGGTCACCAAAGTCTTCTGGGTTCCTCCCATCCGCATTATCTCAGGCCTGCATTTCATCTGCAGGCAGGGATGCAGGTAAATTGCTTTTTAGCAAAGAATGCATGTGGTGGGCAGAAGAGCAGTCCCACTTCATAGAATTATTCTTATCTTTTTCCCACCATCCTCATCTGTCTGTCCCCTAACAATATGCTCTGGGATGTTCTTTGCTAATTGTTTTCTTTTTAAAATTTGTCATCAATATTAATAGTTGAATTGATATGTGTCTTTCATTGTTCCTTGTGATATACTCAAATTAGAAAATGAATTTTCAAGTTTTCCTTATATTTACATGTCCTAAAATATTTCAGTTAGCATTTGGATCATCTTGTCTTTAAAATTTTGATAGAAATTCCCAGGAGATGCTATTCTTTTGTTTTAATGACTTTTGATTGTAATTCTCATTATGTGTGTGCTTTCAACCTTTTATATTGTTTTAATTGTATGTAAATTTTTCCCCTGGAACTAATAAGCCATTACAACAAGGTTTCACCATTCAAGGTTAATAAACATCTATCATTCTTCTATTACAATGAACAAGCAATGAATACATTGAAACTTGAAATTAAAAAGACATTACCATTTACATTACCACCCCACCAATAAAGAAATACTTAAGCATAAATCTGACAAAATATACACAAAATATTTATGAGGAAAACTATAAAATTTCAGTGAAATAAATCAAAACTAAATAAATTGGAAGAAACATTCCACATTTATGGATGGAAAGATTATGTTGTCAAGTTACCAAAAAATTGTTTTTCTAAGAACTAAATTTTGTGTTTACTAATTAACTCTACTGTTCTTTGTTTTCTGATTAATTTTTGTATTTAACATCTGATTTTTCCTTAGGTTGTTAGCATTGAGTATGGGATATTTAGTTAATATATTTTTAAATTTTTACTGCTTTGATGACTGCATTACTTATATCCTAAAACTTCTGATATGTTGTGCTTAAACTTTTGTATTTCTCCTTTGATTAAGAGTTAATTGGGGGGGTGAGGGGTTTGCAGGATTTCCTTTTGATTGTTTTAAATTAATGTGATTAATTTAGGCAGAGAAAGCTATTTGTAGTATTTCTGTTCTTTGGATTATCAGGGTCTTCTTG